TAGAGATGTCCAACTTGGCAATAAAGTTTCTAAGAAAAATGAAGCATCTATCAGAGAGGTAGCGCTCCAAAGTAAAATGGGACTCAACTTTCTCCAGGCTAAAATGGTAATTTAGAATGTGAGAGTGTGAGAGAAGTGTGGAGAAAATGGAAAAGTCAACAAAATGATAGCGGACTTCATTAAGCAGTGCGTTCTGATTTAAACCAAAGCCTAAAGAGGGATATCTGGGAACATGTTTGATGGGCCCCAACTGCAAAATGGAAATAAGACAACAAGTATAAAAAAGCCAAGAGTTAATGAGAAAGAGTAATTTCCACACAAAGGCAACTCAATCTGTGTGAAAATAAACAGAAAGCAGGCATGGTTTTTGGGAAATTTTTGAATCTGGGAAAAGATAGAGCCGTTATTCTTTCTGGGTTTAGATAAATAACGAACCCCCAAGACTCTTTATTCTGAATTGCTCTTTAGTTCTGCTTAAATTCAGCATCTTCTCTCAGCTCAAATTCAAGAAAGGAGATACCACACCACCCATCCACATATATCCTATTCTGGAAGAGTATATAAACTAAAGATAGAAAACTTCTCAAATCTACCTGGAAGTTGCATATATAAAGGGTTTGCTAATCAAAGTACCTGTTAACATATAATGTGTTAAAGGATTTAAGTAGGCTAAGTACAACTATGCCAGACCACCATTAACCAATGGAGACTAGGCTCAGAAGGCACTGAAAAGAATTTCCTGGATTGATTGTGCCTACCAAGCCTATCCCCAATCTGCTTATGGGTTATTTTCTGCTCCAGCCTGTTGGAGCCCCCTGTTGCATTTTCTTGGAGTCTGTGTATTTCTCCTCGCTCCCGTTCTCCTGTGCAAAACCCAAATGCCCTGCCTGGGTTCCTTTCACATCCCAAATCCTACTAGTTAGGAAGTACCTACCTTAGTGGTGAATGAGGCATTGGCCAGTTAGGAAGTGCCTGGACTTCCTAGCTGCCCAGTGCCTCATTCACCACTAACAGTCCCTTATGCTAGATTAAGTTCTCGATCCTTTTATAAAGAAAGCTTCCCCGCTATCATCAATTTCTCCTTAAGGCCCCCTCTTCCATAATGGCGTCAGTGACAATCTCCCAGAAAACTTCCCTTTTCACTGTCCCACTGAAAAGGGCAGAGAGTGACTTTGCTCTTGAAGACCTGGCAGCAGTTTGACTCTGAGGGCTCAAATATCAAGGCGTAAAGTAGTAAGTCTTCATTATTGGGATCATTTCAAGAAGGCACTGTCCTCGATTGTCCAAATAGTGATAAAGTATACAGCTGGCAAATCTGGTGACGACTCAACTGAAAATATATTACCAAGAAAGGAAGGCTAAATGTTTCCAGGAAAATAACTTTTTAAAAATAAAATGCTTTTGGGCCGGGTGTGGTGGCTCACGCCTGTAATCCCAGCACTTTGGGAGGCCGAGGCGGTTGGATCACGAGGTCAAGAGATCGAGACCATCCTGGTCAACATGGTGAAACCCCGTCTCTACTAAAAATACAAAATATTAGCGGGGCATGGTGGCACGTGCCTGTAGTCCCAGCTGCTCGGGAGGTTGAGGCAGGAGAATTGCCTGAACCCAGGAGGCAGAGGCTGCGGTGAGCCGAGATCGCACCATTGCACTCCAGCCTGGGTAACAAGAACGAAACTCCGTCTCAAAAAAAATAAATAAATAAAATAAAATGCTTTTGAAAAATAAATCAAACCAAATAAACGCTTTTGGAAGACTCTCTGAAGCTCAGACCCTGGGAGGAACTAAAAGTAATCAATAAGTTGTCCTCAATAATCTTCAGGTCCAGGACTTCAGACCAGATCATCAGGGGAACCAGCCATAAGAGTGGAGCTCCCCCATGGTTCCATAGACATGGTCCTATTTCCTGGGTTTCTAAAGAAAGACTCAAGTAATAATCCCACACGGTGGAGAGAGAACCTTTCTTTCCACTCATTGCTCCTTATGAGGGGTGAGTTGCAGCCACGGAAGCAGAAACTAGCTAAATTACAGCCAAATACAACCCCACACTGAAGCTTCCCTAGCCCCTGAGAGGCAGGAAGCAGGTAAAACAATTTAATCTCACCTGAAGGGAAGCCTGGAGGCAAGAGAATCTTGAGTTGCAGGCTCATTTGCTGTTTCCTCCTTCTAAATCAATACATGACATTTGTAGTTGAAAGGAAATTAAGTAGTTCCATTTCTGATTTACAGGCACGGTTAGTTGCACTTTGAAGGGTAGGTAATGTTTATACTGGGCTGGGTTTTTTTTTTCTTTTAGAAACACAGCAATGGCATGTGTTGATATATTCATATACGCTTGTAACCTACCCCATACACTTCTTTGTTATGTAGTCCTGTTGAAACTGTGCCCCAGCACTGTGGCTCATGTTGTTGTACTGGACCGAGCATAGAAAGTTAGCACCAAGACAAAAGCATGCCAGATTGCAGGGTCATTTATTATGCCGGCGACCACAGAGGACTCACGTCTCTCCAACCTGTGGCGTCGAAAGGAGGGTGCCAAGACTTTTTATACCCGAAAAACCACCTTGGGAGTGGGGGTGAGGAGCGGGGATGGGGATGAAAAGGCTTCAGACGTTCCAAGGGCCAGGGGATTCTGTGATTCACCTCCTGGGCGGAGACGAGGGTGGGGGTCTCCGGACATTCCAAGGGCCAGGGGACTTTTGTCATTCTGTTTGTTACTTCAGTGGTTTACAGAAGTCAAGATAAGCATTTGTTTACACACAGATCTTAGTTATCCTTATTTTAGTTATTACCGGTAAGCAAAGGCTAGCAATTCTGGCACAATATCACAGTGTCATGAATCTCAGCTCTGTGCCGCTATCTGATGGGTCTGAAGAAAGGCATTCAGGCAGAAAGAATCTTCTCTCTCTCCCTGCCTGCCACAGTATCTGAAACATCTACCATGAAAATGCTTCCACTGGGTTAGGAAAGGAAAATAAAATTCGTTGTGAGCAAGAAGATAGTAATACACTTATTTGTGGTCAATTTAGCATGAATGCTTTAACAACTAAGCCAGTATCTAATAATTTGCATACAGAATGAGGAAGAGAGGAAGTTATGGCTCCAAGAATGAAGCCATATCTGGGACCAGCTATGTAACTTGCAGGGCCCAGTGAAAAATGGAAAGGCAGGGCTCCTTGTTTAAAATTTTATGAAGAATTTCAAGAGAGTGACAGAAGAGCATTAAGCAGAGTGTATGGCCCTTCTAAGCAGAAGACCTGTGCAAATGTATAGGTGACACACTTATGAAGATGGCCCTAACTTGCCCCTTCACCTAGGTCAGACCCCTGGTTTCCTCAGACTCTAGCGCAATGACGGTCATTGGCAAGTGACAAAAAGAAAATGCACAGCATTCATCTGATACTTCTTGAGACGAACCTTGGAAATGTTAGCTCATGTTTAAAAGAAAAAAAAAACTGTTCTGATCACAAAAGTGTACACTTACTATACCCCATCTTACAGGGCAAGCAGAAACCAGCCTCTTTTGATTCATATAAGGGTGTACTAAGAGATCTTTTCTCTCTTTTTTTAACGGAACTATTTGTTGGAGTACCAAATTACTGAAGGGCCTTTGCATGTTTCAAGTCCTCTTCTTAAAGTAAGAATACTCTCCATATTTATAATAGCAGCAAAAGTTCCAGTGTCAGCACAAACAAAACTGCAAAAACGGAGGCACTTCTATGTCATAATAATACGTCGGAGTTCTGTTCACCTCTTTTTTAGAAAGAGAAGCTGAGCCTTACACACATCCACTTTCTTAAATAAATAGTTGTTCAGTGAAAGTTGCCCTGGGAGGATTACTGTCTCCAGCTCCCAAGCACCACTCATCTGCCAGGGAAGGACTCTCTGACTATGACAGAAATTGCTCTTAAATGCATAAGACACAGCAGAGAATTTTTGGAAAATCCCTTATTATTCATTAAAGCGTTTTAGGGCCTCATTAATCCAGATGGAGCAATTGGTTGTTGATTGGCCAGGTTGTTAAGCATCCATTGTCAGATGCTGATGGGGTGTGAGAAAATACAATTCCCATCCACCAAAGAGTCACCTGAATGAGGCTAGCCCTGCATCAGGTAAGGCTGGATAATCATCGGGGAAATCTGTATCTTCATCAGAGAAGGCTGTATCTTCGGGTCCCCAGTCTCTTCTTTAATCTCCAAAGCTTCTCTGTATTGCAAAACATTCCTCATTCTTTGGGGTTTTTTTATTTTTTTTGCCTACCTAAGGTCTGAAACTATGTCAGAGGCCATTTTCAAAAGCTAGTTGGTAACAGGTCAGTCACACCTATGCACTTAGGGACAGGATCCTAACATTTAAAGACGTGTGTGTGTGTGTGTGTGTCTATGTGTCTGTGTGTTTGTGTATGTATATATGTGTGTGTATATGTCTGCGTCTATGCGTGTCTGTGTGTTCGTGTATGTGTCCATTATGTGTATATTTGTGTGTGTCTGTGGGTGTGTGCATGAGTTTGGTTTTGACTTAGTTTCAGAGTTCTTAGCTAGAGCCTGCCCCACATCTCCAGCCCTTCAGATGCAAATGGTATTCAGGTTATCAAGGGGATTCTTGAGCCAGGGTTCAAAAACTGTACTTGCTTCCTTTCCAAACTTTGACTGACTGAGAGTCACATAACAGCAGTGAGCACAGTGAGCAAAGTCCCTGGATTAGAAGCTGGAAAATGTGATTCAGTCCTGGTTCCGTTTTAAGAGAGGAAGTGACCATCATTAGCAAACTGTCATTTCATCTCTCTGACAGTTTGAATTCATTTTCTCTTCCTTTCACAACAGAGCAACATTAGTGTTTAACCTTTGTGTCACACCAAGAAGAGGTGGGGATGTATTTCTACAAAGACAGACAGTTTCCGACCCTTTATGGACCTTTTCTAAAAGAGACAGAATGCTTCCAAGACTATAAAGGACACACTTAGACAAATCTTCCAACAAAGAGGATCCCACTTTACTCACGGAACTGCTCTAGATGCTCATTGCTGTTGGACTCGGGCATGGCCGTGATGGTCACCAAGGGACACGAATTCCCTCCCAGCGTCTGGCAGAGAACATCCTGCCGGAAGTAGACCTCCTTGAGGTTGACACTCTTTTCCAGAATGTCAAGATGAGTCTGGAGCAGAAATAAAGTAGGCGTGTAAATTATTAACATTTTTTATAACAACAATAACAGAAAACAATGACAGCTTACATACAGTGTAGAAATATTGTTGTTAATTTAATCCACCTTTTATGTATTGAGCATTGAGTGATTAAAACGGGGCTATTTCTACGGTCTAGGAGAAGCTCAGTGAGACCGAGCAGGAAGCATCATTCTTGAATGTTTTGGAATAAAGCAAGAGGGAGGAGGGCAGGGGCATGAAGCCCTCTTCCTATCACTGTGGCATGCAAGGAAATGACAGATAATGGAGACTCAGAAGCGTCAGGGGATGGGGTGGGGAGGATCATGAGAAATGTGTTAACGGGTACAATGTACGTTATTTGGGTGATGGATCCTAAAAGCACTGGCTTGACCTCTGCTCAATCTATGCATGTAACAAAACGTCACGTGTACCCATAAATTTGTACAAATAAAAAAAAATCAGTCAATGTGAAAAGGAAAGAAACAAATCTAATCATGCTTTGGTGAAAATTTTTTTTAAAATGTGGCTATCATGAAAATAGAACACGCCCAGATCACTGGGAAGAATGAGACAGAAAACTTCAACAGCACGTATTATCACAGAACCAAGTAAGAGGGAGAATTGTGAGCATACTGAAAAACTCATAGATGTGATTAATCCACGTGGACTGCTAAGCTAAAAGAACTAACAAATAGCAATCAATTTTTCCTACCATACTGCCCCATTTCAATACTCACTTAAAAAAAAAAAAAACTCAATACAAAAATGGAATAGTCACTGAAATTAGGACATCTGGTTAACAATCTTTTTTTTTTTTTTTTTTTGACATGGAGTCTTACTCTGTCGCCCAGGCTGGAGTGCAGTGGCACAATCCCGGCTCACTGCAACCTCTGCCTTCCAGCTTCAAGTGATTCTCCTGTCTCAGCCTCCCAAGTAGCAGGGATTACAGGCGTCTACCACCATACCCAGTTAATTTTTGTATTTTTAGTAGAGACAGCGTTTCGCCAGGTTGGCCAGGCTGGTCTCGAACTTCTGACCTCAGGTGATCTGCTCCCCCATCCCTTGACCTCCCAAAGTGCTGGGAATACAGGCATGAGCCACCACATCTGGCCCCTCATTAACAAGCTTTAAGAATCGAGGAAATTTTCTCTAATCAAAACAGGGGCACTAGTCATAAAGAGACTTTCCCCACCCACACTGCATTCCAACAGTGGATACTTCAGTAGCCAGACAGGGAAACACTGCCCCTTTGCAGGACAAGAACACCACTGCCCAAAAATTATCCTCCCAGCTTGATATTTAAAGTTTTTTCCAGAATCAAGCAGGTATTAAGAGGGACAAGGAGAAACCAGCCACCTTGTTTCTTGACAAAAAACTAGCCTGCTAGGTAAATGAAACAAAAAAACTTATGAATTACTTTTTTAAAATCCCACTGCTTGCTGTATATAAGAGGGACTTCTAAAGACAGAGAAAGGAAAAAAGTTATGTGTATGAGAAATGGCCTTAAATTATCTCTTTATTTTGTTTGCCTCTGTTCAAACATTTTAAAGGAGAAATATTAAAACTAAAAGCATAAGCAAACATAAATTAAGGCAGGCATGGTAACAGTAATATACAACGACGCCATATTCAGGGTCGAGTGCATTAAATGGGATTTTAAAATCTTATTTTGATAAAGGGCACAATTCACAATGAACATATAAAACTCATAAATCTCAACAATCAAATAATATGGGGTTGGAATACATAACAAAATGGCAGAAAGAGAAAAAAAGTGTTCTCGGAGTGGGAGGATTTTAAGATTGCACCTCGGTCTTGAATAAACCAACTACATAAAAATAATAATATAGGCTATTTGAACTACATTGTTTTTGCAGACATATGTCAAACTTTGGTTTTCCAGAGAATATTTCTCAGTTTTTTCTCAAATATCCATGGAACTGCAGCAATAATCAATCATATATGAGGCTATTGAAAACTCATTAAATTTCCCCCAAAGAAAGCAGAAATTATACAAATAATATTTCCTGACAATTAAATGAAATTAGACTTAAGTAAAAATGATTTTCAAAACAGCAAAAATAAACTAACCACTAGAGAATAGAAAATACTCTCTTAAAAGGAGCTCACTGGAAAAAAATTTCATAGGTTAAAAAAAATCAATATTAAATTATTAACTAAAGCCCTGATATAAGTAGACACCTGTGTATCCCAGGAGAGATGGCACAGAACAAGAATGGAAATGTCTCCATCATAATATCAGTCATGTTTCTAAGTCATCCTGGAAAAGGAAAATTCTAGCTCCATAGTTAAGAAGGTATGGATATGGCTGGGCGCGGTAGCTTACGCCTGGGTGGTGGTAATCTCAGCACTTTGGGAGGCCAAGGCAGACAGATCACGAGGTCAGGAGATCAAGACCATCCTGGCTAACACAGTGAAACCTCATCTCTACTAAAAATACAACAAATTAGCCAGGCATGGTGGAACATGCCTGTAGTCCCAGCTACTCAGGAGGCTGAGGCAGGAGAATCGCTTAAACCCAGGGCAGAGGTTGCAGTGAACCGAGATCATGCCATAGCACTCCAGCCTGGGCAACGAGAGTGAAATGCTATTCAAAAAAACAACAACAACAACAACAAAAAAAAAAACCTGAAAGTATGGATTGTGCTGGATTCAAATTATAGTCTCTGTGATCACAAATTATTTTTAACATTTTAATAAACATTTGAAAGAAAGTTGCTCTCAGTATTATTTATTATCGAAATCTAGACAAAATGAAATCTGCCTCACAATTACTATCAAGATTCCAAGGCTCTAAAACCAGAAAGGGAAACTTGGTTGCAACATTTCCCAAAATAGATCCCGTACTATGTTAGTAAGTGCTAGGGTGTGAACAGGGAGGTGGAGGAGGCAGGAAATTCATAGCCAAAGTGCTTAGAAAATGTTGAGTTAAAGAAAATGAAAATATTTCCATGAATGCACGATTTCTCAGATTCTTTAATATTTCAATATGCATTGTGAACTGTTAGGAGAAAAACTAGCACAAGTGCTTCATAAATTTAGATGACCATTAAACTTTTTTCTCTAAACATCTCAAGAGACTGAAGTGCTACAGAATATGTGTTGGGAAACACTGTCTGGCTGAATTATTTCTATCAGCTTGTGCTCTCGTGCGCTCTCTCTCTCTCTCTCTCTTTCTCTCTAAATCTATTTGTTTCACATTTTATTATGGTCACATGGGTCCTTGCCAGTGGTGAAGCTTTCTCAATAAAAGCCTAAACATAAACTCAGTCAATTAATTTTTTATAGAGGTACCAAGAACACGCAGTGGGGAAAGAACAGTTTCTTCAATAAATGCTGTTGGGAAAACTGAATATCCACATGCAGAAGAATAAGAATTACCCCCTTACATAAGAATCAACTCAAAATGGATTAAAGACCAAAGCATAAGACCAGAAACTGTAATTCTACGAGATGAAAACATAAGGTAAAACGCTTCATGACATTAGTCTGGGCAGTGATTTCTTAGATACGACCCCAAGAGCACAGAAAAAGAAAGCAAAAATAGACAATAGGATTTCACCAAACTAAAAAGCTTCTGCAGAGCAAAGGAAACAACTTACAGAGCAAAGAGACAACCCACAAATTGGGAGAAAATATTTGCAAATCATACATCAGATAAAAGGCTAATATCCAAAATATGAAAGGAACTCAAATTACTCAGTAACAAGAAAAGAAACAACCCTATAAAAATGGGTAAATGACCTGAACAGGCATTTCTGAAAAGAAGACATACAAATGACCAACAGGTACATTAAAAAATGCTCAATATCTCTAATCATCAGAGACATGCAAAATAAAACCACAATGAGATACCACTTCATACTTGTTAGATTGGCTATCATCAAAAAGATGAATGATAGCAAGTGCTAGTGAGGATCTGGAACCCTGAACACCGTTGGTGGGAATGCAAATCAGTGCAGCTATTTTGGAAAACAGTATGACGTTTCTTCAAAAAACCAAAAATAGAATTACCACATAATCCACCTATCTCACTTCTAGATATATATCCAAAGGGATTGAAATCAGTACATCAAAGACATGTCTGTCTACACCCCTATGTTCTGTGCAGCATTATTCACAAGAGCCAAGCTACGGAAACAACCACAGTGCCCATCGATGAAGATATATATATGGAGATATACATATACATACACACATACATATGTACATACATACACAATGGTATACTGTTCAGCCTCAAAAAGCAAAAGCAGGAAATTCTGTCCTTTGAAACAACATGGATGAGCCTGAAGGACATACACCAAGTGAAATGCTGGGCACAGAGAGACAAATACATCACGTGATCTCACTACACATGGAATCTAAAAAAGTCAAACTCACAGAAGTAGAGAGGGGAATGGTGGTGACCAGGGCCTGGAGGAGTGGGAACAAGGGGGAGGAACGGAGAGATGTTGGTGAAAGGGTACAACATTTCAATTAGACAAGAGGAATAAGGTCTGGTGATCTATTACATAGTGTAGTCATCGTAGCTCATAATAACACACTGAATTATTTCAAAATCACTAAAAGAGTAATTTTAAGTGTTCTCACCACAAAGAAATGATAAACATGTGAGGTGATAGATATGTTTATTAATCTGGTTTGATCAATCTGTAACATATACATGTACCATATAAATGTAAGCAAATACTATTTGTCAATTAAAAATGAAATAAAACTTTTTAAAATAAATTAAAAATAAATAATAAACACAACCTGTAAAAAAAAAAAAGAAAAAGAAAAAGAAAAGGGAAAAGGGGGGAACAAATACATGAAAAACAAAAAGCAGTAATCGTCATTCTGTGATGTTACAATTAAGCTGTAGCTCTTTGGTGCCTGATACCGAACTTTAAAAAAATAATAAAATCTAGATTTTATAAATCTGTTATGGAGAAACAGGTTAGGCAGAAGGTTGGTCTATAGAAGT